CATTTGTTTTCATTTCTGCCTCTAAGCAGGGATACGCACAGTGCAAACACTTCCATTCTTCCACTTGAAAGATTTCATATACGCACAATCTTTTTGTGCTTTCAACAGCAGAGAGAAAGGGTGGGAAAAGAGGGGACATACACAACATATTTGAAGATGAAACTTTTTCCAGCATGTCCTTGAAAACATACTCCAAAAAGTAACTTTTGTATTTCTATGTTTCTAAAAAGGGCTAAAACTGCCTCCTACAAAACACACACTTTACTGAAATTGTCCCTTCATCACTCACACTTGTGAGGCAAGATACTAGGACATGTTGCTGACCGACAGAAAAGGTAATGGACCATTAGAAACTCAAATTTCTATTCCCATATGCCCTGTTTTGTGGACACTGGTCACTAGATTTGGTGTTGTTTTATAGTAAAAAACAATTAGAGCTTAGGAAAAAAGAAAGACAGGCTGACATCACCTGGCATCATCTCACAATGTTGGACTAGCTCATTTTTACTGATCCCAGTGGCACCTGGTTATCATTTTAATGGGATTGCTTTTATAACCACAGTTATTTATAGAAGCCTTGGCTGTTTCTAAAAGGAAAGGATACTAACTGAAAAATTCAGATTAAACTTCAAAAAGTTTTTGTTTGATCTGACTTTTCAGTTTTGCTTAGTTAAAAGATGGGCCACATCAGACAGTTCTGGGTCTACACCTCCAGTAACAGCCAGTGTGGCCATTGCCCAGCACCAGATGTGAAGGCAGCTGAGCAGCACTGCAGCAATGACAGTGGCTGAAATTATACAAAAGCCACCTCTCAGTGAAGAGGGAGCATCTCTGACTAAATGCTGGAAAATAGCTCTTTTCAAAGTACTTATGAAGCTAGAGAAAAGAGCCTGAAAACAATGGAGAATTCAAACGTTCACACTAGCCTGGGAGAGAAAGAGGAAAAATAACCTCAACTGCTGTATTTAAAGAAACAGACCAGCTACATGGCTACTCTGATGAAGCGCAAAGGAGGGCAGTGAAGGATGTGGAACTGTCTTGAGCTCCAGAAAAGGTGGACTGAATTGCCACAGAAATTTACAACCAGAACTATTAGCTTCCTGTCTTTGATGTCTATTCTTGGCTTTCCAGGGGCATTATGGCATTCATGAGGTGAAAATCAGGCCAGAGCCAAGGTCAGCTAAGGCTGATGCAGCCTGTTCTACTGCAAAGCTGAGAAATTCACTCTGAACTGCTTCAAGATGCTAAATTTAAAGCCTGGAGACACTTCACTGAGGGCCCAAGTCTACTTCCACTGAATCAATGAAAGGGGTTTTTTTCATCAGCTTAATGGAAGTGTGATCTCATCTAGCTGAAAAGCAGAGATTCATTCAGTAAAACATGCTGTCAAGGAGCACACTCTTTTGTCCAGCACAAATGCTTTCAAAGCATTAGATAAACTTTAATAATTCTACATTAAAAAACAACAAAATACTTTCAATAATGCTGCAAAGCATTTGATAAAACCAAATTGACAATAGATAAATAAATTTTATTTTCAGAAGTGAACAAATATAGCTCTTGAATAAACAGAATTCTAACCACAATCCTGCAAGGTGCACTGTACTCTTAATCAAAAGTCTTAGCAATGACTGAATGAACTTAGCTGAGAATGCTCTTCAGTGAAGCACATCACAGCAGGAACTAGAAATTAACTGGTGATGGCGATAGTCACAGACAACTCAGGACACACAAACTGTCCACAAACAAAACTTCCAGAACTACCAGTGGCCCAGGACATAGGATCCAGGCATCTGACTCTAAAGTTGTTGGTCTCAGCATACTAAATCACCAGTACTATGGCAAGTTTTGCTTCATCTTTGTCAACTTGCAGTGGAAGTCTAAATGTTGAAGAATGTGGAAGTCAGATCACAGAATCCTCATGAACTGTGAGATTAAGCAGATATGAAGCTGACCAGCATTTGATAATTTAAAAAACTGATAAATTAGCAGAATTTATCAAAATCTGAACAAAACCAAAAATATGAAGCCACTAGTTCAATTTAACAGGCACAACAGTTTTAGCAATAAACGTATTACCTATGGGGCCAACCTTTCTCCAATTCAAGCACACAGCAAGATTCCCTTTTATTCAGCCATGGCTACAATCATACCCTTTGGTTCCAAGTGAGCAAAGCTCTTATCAGCTGAAGTTGAGTGATTTAAAGTGTGTCCTAACTTGCTGAGCTGTGTCAAAGCCCTCCTTGTGTTGCTCTGTAATACAGATTTATGTTTTTAACATGGCCACTTTATTAAAGCTAAAAATGTAGGCTTTTTAAAACTTTTGAGAATAAATTATTTTAATTAGACATTCCCTTACAGTTTGAAGCCTAAACATTCTGACATTGAGCTAATGCAGATGAACCAGAAAGGAAGAGTGCATTAGCTGGTAAAGAATCTCTCTGCTGAATATTCTAAACTCCACACAGTTTCTGATGTATGGTCTATAAAAGGCTTGGGAAGTATTAGCAAGAACACTGAGAAAGGCAGCTAAGAAGTGCAAGTTTATTTATACTATACAGTTATCTACTTAGGTGGAATGTCTTTAACAATCTCCACACTTCCATGGGGAAAATTAACAGTTAGATGTGCACCAATGTAGAAAGATTAAAACCCGTTAGTATAAAATGTCCTAATGTGCAAGAAAGGTTCACCTTTGTTGGGAGGTGTTGGGATGTCAAGTGTGGCTAGGCCTCCATCAGCATCCCACCAACAGATATCTTGTAAGAAAACTTCCTGATTAAAAAAACTACATTATTTTAATTAAAAAGTGGCCTTTAATTAAACTTTTTTTTTTTTTAATATGCTTAGTTACAGTAAGATGACACAATAGAAGAGCTGTACTGACAATTTATTGTCCCAGACACATCTCCTGGCTTGTGTCTTCTGGTCTGACCTGACAAGAAACATGCAGACCTATGCTACTGTCCTGCTCTCTAACTAGTGATTGTTTCAGTACCAATTCACGCTGCAAGACAAGTCATAAAAAACAATTTCAAAAAAGTTTATGCTTCAAATCATACCCTCTTTACATATTTGAAAATTTTCCTTCACTTTTCCTGTGGCAAAGTACTCAAGTGGATGAAAGAAAGTAAAAATATTGAAAGCCATATTTGCAAAACAAGAAGTAGATCAAAACTCCCTGGGAAATGATTAAAAAAACCCCAAATCTTATGCATGCCCATGAGCTAGACAAACTCAGCTGCTTGAAAAGAATTCCCAAAACTGGTCAGGAAGTCTTTGGTTCTCCAGAACTACCAGTGGCCTAGGACAAAGCAGCCAGACATCTAACTCTGAAATTTTGGGTCTCAGCATACTAAATCACCTGTACTATAGCAAGCTTTGCTTCATCTTTGTCAACTTGCAGTGGAAGTCTACATGCAGAAGACAAGATTGTGGAAATCAGCACTCCACAGCACTATGAATGCTGCTCCAGCTTACACTGATTGCTGGTATCCATGAGAAAAAGTGGCTACTTCAAAAAAACTGTCCATTGAGTGCAGTGTTACTTTGGTCACACAGGCTCAGACTGGGAAACAGGATGATGGAAATCCACTGTGTAAACAACACCTATTTCAATGAGTCCTAAAAGATAGCAAAGCTACCTGGTCTACATTCACCAGCTATACTGAAGCTGACCTGACAGTCAGGAAACCTTTCCCTCTGGCTGTCTGGGACATGGGACAGTATTTTACAAGGGCAGGTCATGAATGTGCTGAGAGGCAAGTGTAACATAAGGAAAAGGGTCCAAGGAAACACTCCATTGGTTATTTCCCCACCAACAAATAAAAGACAGCAGAAACAAGACAGAGCCAGCTTTTGCTCTTTCTTCCAGCTACCCTGAAATGGTTTCTATGAATTGGCACTCTGGCTTTTCAGGGCCTAGACCTTCTGTAGAGCACAGGCTTTAGGGCCAGTTTTGAGATTAAATTTCAAGTGTGACTGACTGCTGAGACCAGGAAGTTCTACTTATGAAATCAAAATAGGACAAACTAAAAGATTTCGTGCACTAGAACCACAGTCATAGCTGGGTTTTCCCATGCACAATATTTTAATGGATCTTAGTCATCACGTTTATAATATGTACTGTTAATTTCCATTTCTTGACTAGAAAGCACAGAGCTCTCCTTTGCCTAGTATAAGATAACATGTTAGTAGCTAATTCATCACAGATTCAGTTTTATTCCTGGTAAAGTCAATGGCAAAAGTCCAAGGGATACCGACAGCAGCAGGACTGAAGTCAACCCTAAAGCAGTATTTTACCACCACAGTTCCTGAAGCTAGTTCCTTGGGTGTTTAATTGTACACACACGAATATTTAGTCTCACTGACTAATGTAGAACTGTTTAGCATGCGAAAGTTCATTATTTTCAGGATCAGGTCCATCATCACATGGACAATTCAATTACTGCATGTATACTTTTGAAATAACTATTTGAATGTTGCACATGCCTGGAGAAGAAAGTGGGGCAAAAAGTGTGTTACTATTGTTGAAGTCACTTCTCCTTCCCTAAATACTAGTTCTAAAACATATTTACAGCTGTTGACTTTCCCTGCATGTTACTCCTATCATAAAAAATAAGTCTTCAAAACATCCTCTTCCTTAATTTTTAATCCTACCAAAGCAAAAATAGATACTTTAATAGAAAAATACAAGATAAAAATATCCTAAAAATAAAATGATAGCATGGAATGTCATTTTTACACAAAAAAAAAGATCCCCTTTTGAACTGTGTCAGCTATACAAACACTTTCATATTTACAATTTTGGATGCAGCCCTGTGCTCACTGAAGTTAATGGGATTTTTGCCATTGACTTCACTGGGAACAGAAGCAGGCCCTACATGGGCTATACTTGTCTCTTTAAAAGTCATGGCAGTGGAGAGTAAGAAGCTTTATAAAACACACGTAAGACCGAGGAATTAGGCAGTCCTTTCTGGAGGCCTAATTGCCTTCTCTCATCCTTCACTGGAGTTTTTGCTAACTCCCAGCATCTAAGAGGGAGAATCAGTGGTTTTTATTGTGATATTACACAAACAAGGAATTTTTTTGTGTGTGTTTCCACCTGCCTGACTTTCTCAGTGAAGTTAATTATGCCCCGATGGAATTAATTACACCGAAGTGCCTGTTCCCTCCCAGAACTAAACTCCATTTGCCCAATCGTGTATCCCCTATAATCGATGGCAATGATTCAGTGGTGCAGGATCATCCCTAAATGAATCCCTTTCTTCCTTTTGACAGCAACCAACACCTCTGCTTGTGAAACCATATTTGATATCTGTGTGTGAGATACAATTAAGGAAGGAGGTGGTAGGAGCTAAGAAAAGAAAAAAGAGGGAACAGAATGAGGCATTCCCCATCAGCTAAACCCAGATCCAGACACCTTAATAAATGCTTTAAGAAATACCATCTTTACATACTAGGTATGTCCTGTAACATCAAACTGCATCGTTTTCTTTTTTCATGAGATGAAAGGCTGTGTGGCACAATGTAATTATAAATCATTCCTGAGCTTCTGAAAGAAATTAAGACAAAATTACTGTTTAAAAGAGTGAGTTCAAGAGCCTCTTCTTTTTACACTGATGTCTTTGGTTGTGTCTTTTTCTCTAATTCTTTTTCTCCTAGGAAGAATGGGATTCTTTTTCTTCTTCTTTATGCAGCAGAAAAATGAGATCTAATGGAGTCTTCACGTAACTGCCGATGTTTCCCCATGTTACAGTCCTCCTGTCGAGTTCGTCTCTCAATAGTTATTCTGTATTTCTTTCTGCATGAAAGGAAAGGAACAAGAGTGGGAAATCCTTCTCCAGCTATAGGGTAACAGGACTTCCCTTATAAAGAATGCCTGTAGGGGACAGCTGGGTGCCAGTTGAAAAATGAAATATGGCAGAATGTGAAACCCTGGTCAAAGATTAAAGTAGTTTGCCTTGAAACATTTTACCCAGGCTCAAGAATGCTGCTAATTTCTACACAGTAGTCTCAAAGCACCAAGACACAGACATTTTCTTCTTTGAACACTTCTGATCTAGTGTCATGTGAACTGTGTCACATCACTGCTTTGTATTGATCAAAGCCAAATTTCTTTCCAGTAACAGGGGTGGGGGAGCACTTTATGCATAGTTCAAACAAGAGATCTGACTATCCAGTTGCATTTCTCACTGGAACTGTATATTAACTAACTAATCCTCCCTTCTCCCTCTGAGAAAGCTACTATGTTTGTAATGTCAGAGGAGGAGGTAGTATGATGAATTAAGAAAAGGGATGTAGAGGGTAGATAAGAAATAAATACAATTGCTCATGCATCAGAAACAGTTTTTCCTGTGTGTCTTCCTCTAGGGCCTTTTGAAGAATTCTGTTATGTTACTTTATACGTCAAACAAGCCCTCTGTCTGCTTTTCAGTTTCCCCTTTAGTATCCCCAAAATCATTAAGAAGATTCCTATCTATATTTCATGCATTTATGGTTCTACTCATTTTCAGGACCAATTTTTCCAAAAGGCATTAGTACAGCCCCAAATGCATACAGCTCTGCTTGTGAAGACAGAAAGCTTGTATGCCAAGTTTGAATGCTTGGTTGTGGTAATTACAGATCCAAATGAGATGTAACCAGAAGATATATAGTTTGAAAGGTATTGAATCTGCAGGTACAACTTACTGCCAGGCACACAATTGCTAGACCTACATTTTCTGAAAATCTGACCTATACATCTTCATATGGTAGATTTCATACGTTTACTCTAATGGTGCAATTAGAGGGTTGTCCCTGTACTTGCTTTCAGTAAGTGCAATCAGATGTCCGGGGTGAAATTCTCCCATGTGTCTTTCGGTGTCTCATACATGAAGATGTATCTGACAGAGTACCCAAGGCTTCCTTCAACCCAAGATATATCTTTAGCCTCATTTCATGTCCTCACACACCAATTCCGTCCTCAATATCAGTAATGATAAAAAACACAGCTCAAAATAGTCATCTCAGATTAAGAGTTTATAAAAGATTCAAGTACCTCTGATGTCATACAATATAAAGACAGACTTGTATTTTCTTTTAAAAAGAGTCTTTAATCAGTCTTGGCTAACTTATCTTCTTTCAAACAACATATTATATAAGCACCAAACACATATAAGAATTAAATCACACTGCAGAATTTTAGTTGTAAGTACCTGATGAATAACCATGGTTCTGGGCCCTTCAAAACCCTGGAAATGTGTGGTGAATTGAAGCATTTTTTGCTTTCTTTCATTTTGTTAATGTTCTTTTATAAACAAATATTTTTATTGGATTGAATGAGTTAATTCTTATATGCAGAGGTTAATTTTATTCTCCTTTTCCATAGCATAAAAGGATAAATTATAGTACATATAATATACTGAACATGTATAACTAAATTATTCTGTCAGTATAGGATCAGCTCCTAAGTCTTGAGATTTGTTGAAGAGCTGTGAAATAACTCTTTTACTTAAGTGATCACCCTGCACTGACCTCAGCTTATTAAGTTAAATGCACAGCTTTGAAATCCAAATTCTCTGTTATACCAGAACAGAAATCTCTTTCTAGCCTCCAGGACAATTCTGCTCAATACTGAAAAACTAAGCATGGTACCAGGCAAGTGATATAAATCCTTTGCACAACCACAGCCTGCACAATTGAGCTGGCAAGAAGTACCAAAAGCAGCTTTTGAGGTCAGGGTGCTTTACTAAAGCAACTGTGAATGACTAGAACTAATTGGAATTACTTCCACAAGCAAAGTTACTCAGAGATGTAAGTGGTTACGGGATGGTTACGGGTTTGGGTACAAATTGGAACACAAGAGGTTCCACTTAAACCTGAGAAGAAACTTCTTCTCAGTGAGGGTGACGGAACACTGGAACAGGCTGCCCAGGGAGGTTGTGGAATCTCCTTCTTTGGAGACATTCAAGACCCGCCTGGACACGTTCCTGTGTAACCTTATCTAGGTGTTCCTGCTCCGGCAGGGGGATTGGACTAGATGATCTTTTGAGGTCCCTTCCAATCTCTAACATATTGTGATACTGTGATACTGTGATGAGGCCTTGAGTTAAAAAAATGATCTGGATATACACAAAAGGACAGTCCAAGTGTGCTGTTTTGGTGGGAATTTCACCACAGATTATTATGGTGCCTCCCTGTCTCTCATCAAGGATGTGCTGCCAGGAGCTAAGAGGCTTTGAAATAAGAATTCACAGAACTTTCAAAGAATTGGACTAACCTGAAAAAGTAAAAAGCCATTAGCAATCCTGCTCCGAGCAAGGCCCCCACAACTATTCCTGTGACTGCTGATTCTCCTAGACCACCTGCTTGAAAAGGCAAAAAATAAACAATCAGGGTTCATATTGAGAACTATCTGCATTTGCATATTGGAAAATACACACAACTAGGAAATGAATGATCAACATCAGATAATACAAAAGCTTTTCAGAGCTCAGGACTCCATGGGAACCTTTTTCTTAGTTCCAGTTTCTGCATGTTTATTTTTTGTCCTTGCTCTTCTGGGGTTAAGTCCTGAAGATCAGTGTCAGATGAAGACACAGTTCTAGAGATGTGATGCACAGGAATGTTGTTAGCAAACTGGTCTGGACAACTTCGTCTGAATCATAACACAGACTGGGATTACAGTGACGCACATAATGGGAATCAGCACTTAATATGCCCTGAGTGATTATAACAGAAACAAACTCATTTCACTTAGCATCATAACCCTCTATCACCCAGGTTTATTAAAATAAATGTATGATTATCCAGTAGTTCCTCAATTTATTTATTTCCTCTGAACCTATGTTGTTTCAAGTTAAACCTGTATGAGCTTTGCCTTGCTTCAAATCTCAGCAGAGGGAGAGCAAGAAGTACACTGGCTGGTGGGGAGCCCACGTAGGGACTGTTACTCTGTAAAGTGCAAGGCAATTTTCTCTGTACATCAGGATGTGTGGAAAAAGGCGCACAGCTACAGCATGCTAAGCAGAAAGGATGTGGGCTGGAAACAGCCTCTACAGTATGTACATACACGCAGGTTTTTCAGGAACTGAAGAATTGTCAGGCTGCAGATACCTTGTCACTGCAGCACCAGCAATTTGTTTCCTGTGGATAGCTGAGACCACTCTTACCCACTGAGGCACCAGTATCTTCCTACCCTTATCTCCCTGGAACATCCTGCTCACTACAATATGATCTGCAAAGTCAGTATACTGCAAAACAAGGGCACCTTCTCTGTCGACAGTAGTCACAGCCTTCTGGATTCACAGACTTCACTTCTTCTCAGTCTGCTGGCCACTCACAGTGCCCTCTCAATAGCACTGAAAATCATTCTGCACTGGAAGAGCACTACTCCCATCAACACTCCCTTCCCAGCTGCTAATTATCAGTATGGTTATGCTTTATTTGAGGTTTCAGTTATGTCCTTCTTTTTGGCTAAAACAGATTTTAGATTTCTGGCTAAAAGAGATTTTAGTCCCTGGAAAGTCCTAAAGTCTCCAGGGCCCTGGACTGTGCATCATGATTACTGTCACGTTAAAATTCAGGGAAGCAATTCAGACCACATATTACCCACAGCTGCCAGACCTTAACTTCCCCAACAGTCAGCAAAGACTTAGTCATGATGTCTCAACAGGACAACTGTGCTAACGAATTCAGTATGTCCCATTATGTTGCATCACCACATGGATTCCTCTCTCTGACAGCCTGGGCAGACGCATTAAGTCACTAAACTTACATGATTTACATGGTGTGTTGTTTGTGTGCTCTGAAACCCGGCTTTCATCTAGTCGCAGCCTGCCATGGTTCCAAGGATATTTCACATTTGGCCGAATTTCAAAACGCCCCTGCTTTCCATAGTAGTCCCCGATCACCTATGGGAAAAAAAAAAAAAAAAAAAAAGAATGAAAAGATTTTCCAACCAATTTAGGAAAGTAAAACTAAACAGGAGAGCAGCATCACTCACTTGGATGGCTGTGCAGGATGTTGAATCACAAAGAACCAGGCTGAAGGGGTCTGTAGGAGGTTATGCAGTGTATGCCTTGCCCCGGGGCAGGATCAGTTGAACAAAAGCATTCCTGACAGATGTTTATCTAACCTGTTCTTAAAAGCATTCAGAGATGGAGACTTGACAATTCCTGTAGGCAATTATTCTGGAATTTAGCTATCCTTACTGTCAGTGTTTTTTCCTAAGGTAACCTAAATCACCCTTGTTTCAATTATCTATCCCTACTTAGTGAACTGCCAGTGGACAGACTTGCTTTCTGAAACACTGCTTTACATACTCACAGTATCCTATCTGGTGTGCCTTTAGGCTTCTCTTCTATTTAAACCCAGTTCACACAGCGGTTTTTAACCCTCTGAATACTCTTCCTGCTCTCCCTGTGCTTTCTTCAATTGCTCCATAGTGGGTTGAGTGATCAGGACTGTCACCCAGCTAAGTGAAAATACCATTTCAAATGTACTGAGGCTCCTGACTACACACTCCAGCCTGGACTTATATGTTTTGCAAGGATCTGCAGGTACTTGATCAAGTTCAGCTAAAATCTTTGAATCTTTTGAAGAACTATGATGGAGCCTGTCATTCTCCACCTTTTATTTATACAGTTGTTGACATCTACATAGAAAGGGACTTTCATGCTTATTATTCTGGTAGAATAGGCTATTATTTCATACCAATTCACCAAGATACTTTAGAATTTCAGTCCTGTCCTCAACAGTAAATCCAGGATTTACCCAAAATAATGTATGTTGGGTCTACTGCAAAGCCTGCAGGACTGAATTATGCTAGGTCAGTCACTGGAAAATAGTTAAAAAAAAAAACCAGGTACAGTAGTAAGTCAATTATCATGACACTGAAGTAGTCAGAAACAATGGTAGAAGGATGTATTTCTACTCATAGTGTTTCTACCATGGATAAAGAACATCTATTAATACACAAAGTTTATAATTCAAGCTACCGACAGCCTGTTCAAATCTTTCACCTAAACTTGATTTTGAAAGGAGTTCTGAGATAACGTTTGCCTGGGTTATGTACAGAAAGGCAGATTTCACACTAAATAACTTACTTAGTTTTGCTATGGAAGATAAATCCTTAGAAGACCTTTTTAAAACATTTGTTCAACAATAAAGGCAAATTCAGTGAACTGGAAAAAGTAAAGGGAAGAAACCTCTGAGACCATTTGTAGGCAGCAGACTGTTCAGTAAGAGACTGTTTGATTTATCAAACAGGAGTGGGAGAGTTCTCTACCAGCACGGCTTGCTAAATAGGAAAGCATGCAGAAAGGCTTAAGAAGACCAAATAGTTATAAGCAGCCACCAAACAGGTTCAGATCAGAAGTAGGATATATATCTTTAAAGAGCAAGTGTAGCTAAATAGTGGAACAAACATCGAGGGAGCAAGCAAGGCAGTCCCTGTTCTTTCAGTGTCTACAAATGAAAAACAATGCCTGTTACAGTGTGAGCTTTCATCACATGTAAATTACAGGGCTTCATACATCAGCAAGAAACCTGCCGGCAGAGTTCAAACTAGGTCATCTAGTGTTTTCTTCTAGCTTTAAACTCTGTGAATGAACTTGGAAAATCAGCTCTGCCCAAATACCCATTCATCTGGCTCAGTTCAGCTAAGAAACACCTCATACAAACACACAAAAAATTGGCAAAATTAATAAAACAAGACATGGAAGAAACAATGTTTTTAGTGTGAGGCATAAGGGTAGAAACGAATATAGCAGACACAAGTAGTAAGTAACCGCATGTAAAATATGTTAATTTATATTATTGTATATTGTAGATTTATATACATCACATACAAAACAGAGGGAAGTTAAAATGAGCAATATGGTAAAAGAAGAAATGTAACATCAAAAAATAAATGATAGTTTAAATTGTGAGTGAAAGAGCAATGGAAGGAAGGGTAGGACAGGGGGATTATATTGATAGATGAAAGAAAGAGCTAACGGGGCGAACAGAGGAGTTACAAGTAGTTCAAAGTTATCCTAATCAAACTGTACTCCTAGCTTCAGTTAATGATGACTACTCCTATCCTCTGGAGTGTCTGCAGTCTGCTGCTGTAGTTTTTCAGTTACTTTTACACACTAAAATACATAAAAACACACCACACATCCTGATGCTTTTAAAAAGGCTTCTTGAGTCTTTTCTCTGCTGCAGCACAGACAGGAACATTATAACTTCACTGGATTCCACATACAGAAATGCCAAGCTCAGACTTGCTGCTGCTGTATGGTTGAGACTGATGAAACAGGGGAGGCCAGCAAAGCTTACCTAGATGCTGACACTGCAACTAACAGAAGCTCTACGCTGCAGCTGGAGTTAGGGCAATGCATGTATTAACAAACTCAAGCCAGTCGTGTTATTCTCTATGTGCAGCTGGTCCTGTTTCTCATAGACTGTTTTTTTACTCTCTGACTGCTTCCACTCCTCCTGCATCCAGTGGAATAACCCACACGGTGTATGTGGAGCTGATTAAAATGTCTCTTAAACATCGAAAACAAGACACTCAGGTCTTGCTGCTTGATAGACAAGGTGAGGCAAGGTCTGCACTCCTGCCTATAGTAGACCACAGGGTAAGATTAAAATACCTGTAACTCACTGTGCTCATACAACAGGGTCATTTGTGCAGCCCTGTTGCTATAAGGTTAACCTCCCTTCTTACCAGTGAATAAAAAGCCCTGCTCATTTTAAACGATTTCCCATATTCAGAATTTACCAGTGCTTAGCTAGCTTCTAGGATTTCACCTTCTAAATTTTAAAGGCTCTAGCATCATGTGAAGAAAGATGTCTTGTTAAAGAAAGGAAGTTAAGAAAATTTAAAAAGCCTTAGGATAACTAATTCAAGACAGTTATTTTACAGAAAGGATTTGGTCTCCTGGTTGATAAAATTAAACAATACCATTTTAAATTGCATATTAAATAAGCAAATGTTCACCAAGTAAACAGATGATATCATGTGGTATTACATTGGCTAATTCATCAGTGGCGAACTGCAACAGTGTTTGTTTCCTTACCTCCTGTATGCCTGCCTCTGGGTCCGTCATTCCAATCACAGAGAAATCCCCATATCTGTCTCCATTGGCATCAATGGACACCTGCCCTGCAATGCCTACAGAATGGCATGTGAGGAATTAGAAAATTAATTAAAATACTGAGCCTCTCCAAGGAAAACAACAAAACAAGTGGACAGGTTTTTACAGACCGATAGGACAGGAAACCTCATCAGTCTCCCAGCATTTTTGCTGGCATTCCAAAAGAAATTGTAATTTCATCCCAATGTCTGCATTCCTGAATTCTTAACATTTCTCCTTTTTAAATATCAAATGTGTGAGGCTGTTTAGGGAATACGTGAGAAAAATCTAATCCAAAAGCCAGCATGCAAGAATAAAAAACAAATAGATTTAATGTGAATTATTTACAGAAAGCCTAACCATGAAATACCTAATGATGCCTCAGTAAGGAAAGTCCAGCTCATGTGTGGCAGAGAACACGGGGGCACAGCCCTACACCCCACAGACTAAAGGGGTTGGTGCACCCATAAAGCCAATCCAGTGTTGTCTGCATCTGATGGGATACTGGAGGTGGCATGGAGAAGAAGCACCATGTGCACTATGTTTACGTCCTGCATTCAGTTACATAGGATTAACTTCATAATATGGTGCTGTTTATTTTATATTTTTAGACAACACCCCCCCACCCAGTTCACTTTCTTCCGTTACAAGTTCTAGGAAACTTTAGGAAAACTGGGAATCACAGAGATAGGGTAACTCAAGTTTGAAAGGACTTAATGAGGTCTTGAGTCCAACCTCCCACTAAGAGCAAGGTCAGCCAGAAGGTCAGAATAGGAAGATGCTCAGGGGTTTTATCTAGTCTTCAAAACACCCAAGGATGGCAACTGCACAACCTCGCTAGAGCAACTTGTTCCAATGGGCATGGTGAATAAACACTTCCTTGTATTCAGCCTGAACTACTTCTTTCAGTGTAGGCCCTTGTGTATAAAAAGCATGGCTCCAATCTCTTACGCTGCAAGTCAAACAGGTTCTTCAAATCCATTACACACTAGCAATTAACTATGATGAAGACACTGTAAGCCTTTGTTGATACGCTTTATCTCCTTAGGTAATCCAAAAGGTGATCCTCCACTGCCTGGCACCAGACTTACACATTTACACCAGTGCAAATCAAACACACATCATTATACATCCACATGACACCAACTTCATGACCACACCAGGCACAAAGCAGTAGAGAATCAAATTCTCAGTGATTGTACATCAGAAGAGAGAGTGGTCAGAAATGCAGTCAGATTATAAATTCCCCTCAACATATCTGATGATAGTAAACACGCAACAGATTAACACACCTCTATTTATCTGTCTCTGTTCCCATGTACTGATATTAGGAATGTTTAAACTTAAATGTGATCTTCAAAACACACAATGGTCACCAAAAGATTATTGAGAAATAATCAAGAGAGTTGAGCATCTGTTTCATTACAATACAGTTACCAAACAATTCCCAATTTGATTACTGCAGGAAAACAGAATGGGTATAAAAACCACTTGTCTGTGAAAGCACTGGAAGAGGCCACTATGATAAGCTGCAACATCCTAGAAATTTGGATTCTGGATCCTTCCTGGTTTAGAAAGCTAAAACTCAGTTTTTAGAAGTAGGTATTAAATTGACTGAAACTCAGAATTCCTATGCATTTTTTTAATGGGATAGACTAATTTTTAACTTTTCCATCCAAAACAAACTACAAAGTTTGAAATGTCAACATTTCCTGCAATGTTCCTCCATAACATACTTAAGAAATTTTGAAACAACCTGAATGAAGAACTGTGTTTGGATGAAGGTGAAAGGATTTTACCTCAACTCTTTTTTCGTTCTGTTAGACAGGTACATACAGAAAATTTTGCTACTTTTTCAGAGGAAATGCCAATAAATAGAAAATATTCTCCACAAAACTTGCCCTGGAATTATACCAGGATGTCCCTAGCAGCCCTAACAGTAAGAAATCCTTTGGTCACCTCAGCCTTATCCTTTCCTAAACACATGATGTTGTCCATGCAGTTGTGGCTGGCAGACTCCAGACACTGCAGGAAACAGCATGCACATTCTATTAGAGTTGTGATGGGTGACCTATTCAGAGCTGGCTGCAAAAGGAGGTGCCCTGGCAACCAAATATCTTATTATCACCAGTTAAATTAATGTAATTAATGAAACTGGAATTCTCATCATCAAGGCCTGCAAAAGTTTAAGTGAATTATAAAGCTTCAGTCCTGCAGTAGAACCTGGTGGATGAACATATGGACCATACTCAAAGATGCTGCATCAACTTCAGAGAGGGGGTTAAAGGCAGAATAAAGGGGCAACATTTTCCTAAAAGGACTGGCTTGCAAGACATCGAGTTAAAGGTCTCTTTCAAAATCAGTTTTATCCTTGTAAATTATGTCCAGCAAAGTACTGCCACAGAGAAGAGATGGCATGTGACTTACATGGCATTTTGACTTTTTAAACTGCACCCTCAAGGCTCAACATGACAGCTACATTTTCAGAGTAGGTGTGACAGGTCAGCCAGCAACAACAAACTGGTTTTCACAAATGGGGAAAGAAAACATTTTTTCCTCCCTGGTTGGATTTACAAGAAAGATGTGAGAATCAACCATGTAGCCTGCATGGAGCACATGGTACTGCTGAAGTCTTGCATGGACACACCTGCTGGTGGCTTCCTAGAGAACAGAAAGCACAGAAAGGCTGTGCTGAGGCATCTGTCCATACACAAGATAAGCAAACATCAAGGCAAATCCTTAGACATCTGATTCCTTCTGTTAAAACAGTGTGTTTTGGGAAACCATGGATGCAAAGGGAGGTACTAGGACATCAAGGACAGTCTGCATCTGGTGCAGGGCTCCTTATGGGATGACTGCAACCAGAACAACTTAAAGCAATCCCTTGTGTTGCCTTAAGCTGCCCTGGGGACCCTTCTGCCTTGTGTTCAGGACAAAAATTGACAACAGAAGAGGGGAGAGCTGCTATACTTCATGCCTTCCTCCACTAGGTCCAGTGTGCCCTTAGAGCAGAGAACCTCATTCCTGAAGTTTTCCTTGCATATCCAAATGTATCATTCATTCCTTATCTAGTGGAAATGTCTCCTTCTCTTAGGTATTTCCATAGGAAATCTTGCCAATCCTACACCAGAACACTGGAGTATTCTAAGAGATAAACAGCAATATTCTAAGATATGACTGATTAATCCAGTAATACTCAGTTTCTCTATGATGACTCCTACCTGGCAAAAGCACTTCCATCACCTTGCATCAGCAGGGTGACATGCAAGTGCCAGCTGCACTGTGGAATCGCAACCTACAGGATTAGGTACAGAAAGGCAGAGTGCTGTTCAGCTGCTGCCTCTGAGATAATAGGCTCAGCTCCTGAAAGAAGGCTGGGGGAACATGCTTCAGGGGCCCAAAGGAGTCCTGTCAGGAAACAAAAAAACCTGGCACCTGCTTCCTTCTATCTGTTCCTAGGCTTTTAAGATAAAAAAGTCAAATGGAAAAAATGAGGCAATCTCAGAGCTAGTAGATGCATATGAGTAAAGTGAGCAGCTGTAATCTTTTCAAAAACAAAGAAGGAGCCTGAGAAAATCACTGGTATTTCTTTACAACATCAATGAGGGTCATTAAATTGTTAGGAGTTTTTTGAACTGAGTAAGACCTGAAGGGGTGGTGCAGAAGAAAGTCAGACGGGGGAGGTATGTGAGCTAGCCTTCAAGATGTATGCAGTTTCATATGGTTATTTCCCTCTCATTTGAGAATGGAGTAGGCATGGGTCCTTACTCTGCACACAATAAATACCTGAATTTTTTTGACTCTGAAAGCTGGAATTCTGTATTAACTCTTACCTTCATATGTTCTGTTTCGTGTTTGCTGAACAATTTTTTCACCATCTTTCTTACTGAAACCAAACTTCAGGACTTCCTGCAAAGCTAGAGCATAAAGAAGAATAGCATCATGGAATCCTTCCACAAACATGTTCACCTAAAAAAAAAAAAAAAAAAGAAAAGAAAAAAGCAATGGCAGTTGACACACAAAAAAATTTTCTTCCTTATGGAATTTAATAACTAGAGGGAATATTTAAATTAACCATTATGACAGATTCAGATTATTTTCTCAACTGCTAGAACACAAAAGAATGTGTCTCAAAAAAAAAAAACCACAAAAAAACAAACACAAAACAAAACACCAAAAACCCCCGAAAGCCCCCCAAATCCAGGAGGAAAATAGCAAGTTTTGACTCATTTTTAAAAACAGTTAACCACTATCTGTTATTCTGAACATTCACATCACACTTTAATGTTGTGTCTGAATAGCTCTGCAGATACGGGAGAAATCTGCAGATCACAGTTCCCACGGCCAGATGCACAAATTCTGCAGCTGACCATGTGAGATTCTGTAAGGTGCTGAGCACTCTCAGCCCACAGCACCAAGCATATATTCCTCCTGCTGCACAGAGGACTTAGCACCTCTCAGGATTGGGAAGTGTGTTCTGCCATGGTTTTTTTTGGAGAGCGCAACTGATGGATTTGCTTGTTTAATGATTACCACTTCCATATCTGGCCATTATTCAGCTGAGCATCTCTCCACTAGCAAATGAGCAATGGAGGAAACTACTTACCCTCTACAGCAATGCGTTCTCTGGAACTGCCAGGGGAACAGTTTCCTGTCTTTTACAGTTTTTTCAGTAAGTGACATGAAATGAATGAGATGTTGCTTTATAACCCTAATATAAAAGAAGACTGCTGCCAACCAGGACTGCTTCCCATGAGTCTGTGCAGGCAACCTACAGCTTTTGGTCTACATCACAGTGAATAACATCAACACTTAAAAGCAGAGTGCTGCAGAAACACTTCGGGTTTGTTCACAGAAGCCTGGTGTGCTTCAGTGATGAAGCAAGATTTATTTTAGGAGCTCAGTTCAAATGGAGACCCATCAGCACGAGCAGACAGAGATGGCTTGAGTAGCACAGCTACTCCTCTTCTGTAAGCAGCAACTCACATCTCAGTAGTGCAATGCACCCTGGCTTGATGCACAGTAATTCAGAATGAATTATCTTTTCAGCTGCAAGAAAGGTGTTTCCATTCACTCAGAGTTGCATAATAATGGAAAAGCTCCTGACATCCTAGCAAAGACATAATCAACAATTATACATTATGGGGTCTCTTACTGCTGTTTCCAGTGAACGACCCACTTCTACAAATCTTCTGGATAGCAGAAACATTTACCTTATCTTTCACCTCTATGTTTTTAAACAATTTAAAATGTTGGTAAATAAAGTGATACTCTGACAGTCTTAGCTGGACATTAACAATGTTAAAAGATAAAAATGTGTAGCCAGTTAAGTAAATAACTGCTGCATAGATAAAAAGTATTACATAGTTGATTGGCTAAGCTGAACTAACCAAGCCCCTGGTAATGTAATTACACACAAGACATTCCTTCACTGTTAAACCAGCTGCCAACATTTAGGAGAATTTCAGAATTACTCACTGATAATACAAAAGTTTACATTGCTCTGATATTTAAAATTTGACTTTTAGATAACTCCAACCTTTGTTTTATTGAGAAAACGCACTACCAGTTTAGAGGAAGAGCCCACAGTGCTATAGGGCACAGAACAGCTCAGCTCAGTCTGACAGCCAAAAACTAAGAAGCAGCTGCAGTTGCTTTAACCTAAGGAGTAGGCATGAAAGAGGAGGTGAAAATCAGGCTTTCAGTGAAATAACAAGAGCTGATGGACAGAGTGCACACTGGGGCAGGCTTTGCCAGTGGGGGGTTTAACTTTTCAGAACTGAAAAAAAAAAAACCAAACCAAGAAACCACAAAGCTCGACAACTGCTTTATGTGCCAGCACTTGAGTCCAAGTGGCCTGCGGATGATCAAACAGGCTTTCTTCATGTGACACTCATTCTCCCAGGAGTGAAATTAAGTCTCTCTAGTTGCTCTACCTCCCTGCTGGCTGATTTACAGCTTGTGCCTGGCATCTATTTCAAGGAAAGCTATTTGTCACTTCCTTTGTCCATGGCAAAGACCTCTTAGTGTAACACGGCAGCCTTCAAAACCTATTTTGTCAGCTAATTTGCTCCATCTGAAATCTACAGATGCCACCAGCCTGAAAACCCTCCTGCAGACACTGCAGATTTGCCAGATAAGCCCCATCAAAACTCACTTGGCAGCGTAGGAGGTTATAGCCAGAGCCCCTTGCCTTGACTCCTGGCTAAAATCCCTAACGTTACATATGAAAAATCACATTAGAAAATCATGAGATCAGCTGTGCCACTTCCCAGTTCCTCACACACAAACCCCAGCACTTTATCTTACATTGTCAAGGGAGGTGAAACTTCTGGCATTTTGTGCCATTTCACATCTTCTAAAGGAGTAATATCCACTGTCTGCAGGTGAGACTGCACCTACACTCTCCAGCCAAACTGTATGTTGAGCACACTGTCTGCTTTTAACATTATTCCAGGAACATGCTCAAGCACCAGTTCTTGAAATAGGACACAGGATACCATGAAGGGCATAATGTTTTCCTGCATCTCACCTTGCCTGATCATTTAGAAGTTGCCACGATCCTACACAGAGAATGGGTTGCATGCTGTGTAGGACTGCTCTAACCTACAAAAGGAGAAAACAGTGAAGACGGGAGGAATATTACAGTGCAAAGTAAGAGCTGCAGATAATTCTGAAGGGATTGCCCTGTCTTTGTACCATTTTCCACCTGTCTAGAGCTTGTTTACATTCACTCTGCAGCCTGTGACTGTCTACAAAAGATCCTCTGGGTAAAAAGAGTGCAAAATTTGCTCCAACTGATACCGCTCCTGACTTAGTAGAAGTTTCCCAAGCCATACAATCACAGGACTTCCTTTCTGGACAACATTAGCTCTGTTAATGATACCTCATATACCTCACTGATATGAAGGATTTCCTTTTTTTTTTTATTAATTTATTATTATTATTTTAACATAGCTTCTGTTCTACGTTCAGTCCTATAGGAAAGATAAACAGGCTAAGACCCAAACCAACAATTTTCATACTTTCTGCCTTGTGTAGCTTTGAATTTTAGAGTATCTCATGGTAAGAATAAATAATTACAAAAAAAACCCCCATCCTTCCTTTGTTGCAAGAAAAAGGTTAAAAAGGGCTAGAAAAAGTAAAATGTTCCATAAAAGCTCAAAACAGGGATGAGAATAAATGTGAACGTGTCTTCATAGTTTACTTGAAGGTCTCCATAGTAATTAATAATGTGTGATTCAACATCACAGAGCCCTCAGGACAAAACTAAACAGATTATAAAAGCTATTAAAGATCTACTAATCTTGTACATAATTAACAGTTCTTTTAGTTAAGCTCTAATAAAAAGCAGAAGTTTTTATTATAGTAGTTTCCATTTTGATTTATTCTGGTTTTTTAATTACTAGTGTGAACTTAGCTCCAAATGCTGTGATCACAATTCGCATGTCACTTCTACTAAGCTGTTTCTGTCCCTGACATTAACTGCACAGCAGAGCCACTCCTCAGTGTCCATCATCACCAATACAAGTAGAGCTGCCATGTTTGCTGAACATCCTTGGAGACTGCAAGTACAAGTATGTGGAAACCTTCCCTGCTGAGGTATCTTCCATATTACTTTCACGTCCAGTTCAAGATACCACATAACTAAAAAGCAGGTAAGCTAATTGCATAGTAGGAAGAGATGAGCACTTATTTGCACCTTTGATTTTCCTACTTTTCTACTCTAATTAGCCTTTTTTTTTGTCAGAAAAAAACCCTCTCTGTGGCAATCACATGAATAAACTTTACACAGTTCGAAGTTACAGTTCCCCAGGCAGCTATAGTATGACCACACTATTCATATATACCAAGGTGTTAACAGCATACGCAGCAATACAGAATACTACCAACATGGAAGACGGCCAAGCTACAGCTATTCAGGACCCATAATTTTCCATATCCAGCCCACTGACTGTTAAGTATTACTAGCTTATTCTGTTCTGTCTGGAACTGCCCAGCTCTAAATCACAGCAATTCATACCACTTCTGTGCTAGGTGGGGAAGACTATCATCACTTTTTTTGTACTGCAAAAGCACACAACAAACACTCCCCAACTCAGTCTCTGCATATACTTCCCATTACATCTGCAGTGATTTTCAAGTTGTCAAACTACAGTCCCAACCAAAATCAGTTAATAAAAAAAAATCAGTTAATCAAAAGTTAGGATCCTGGGACACTGCATAGGGTGTATGCACTTCTTTCAAAAATCTTACCAATTCACATACTTGATATGATGCTCAAGGTAACATAGTTTTTGTTTTCTGTTACTTTTAGTTTGCATAAACTCAGTGAGAAACTCCAGGTGGAAGCAAGATTGAGAAAGTGAAGCCAAGAGGAGAATATCCTTACATCTGAGCATTACCTGTGAATACGTGAAGTGCATTTCAAACCAGTAATGTGTGTCCAGATTCAGCTTTTGCAATTATTTTTTAGACCTATTGCCATAATACTACCACATATCACCCTGTGTGTTACCATCAGGACATAACAGGATTGTTACAGCTCTCATTAATTTACTGTCCAGCTCCTTGGATCCTCACGTGATTTTCTTACGCCACTATGCAACAGAAATTCATACTGTTCCTAAACCTCACTTATGGATAACAGCCACTCCCTGGCATTGGGATTGAGATTCCTAGGACTCCCAAGTATAACAAATGCAAAGCCACAGGATTCACCCACAGCCAGATGTCATTAACAGTGTATCTTGGGGTGCCCACAGACATGGATATATAACCCAACCTGTTTCCACAGAGATCACATCACTGTGATACCAGTCCAGCAACTGGAAAGACAGATAAAGCTGTAAAACAGTTAATCAAAGCTGTATGTTTAGATGCCTAATACTAAAAATACAGCCTGTTCACTTCCCTGACCAGACTGCTTCCCTGATGGAGCTGGACCTCAGTGGTTCAAAGAAACAGGA